TTTTAGATTTAAATGAGAATTTGACTCTCAACAGGACAATTGAGAAAAAGGACTCATGTAGTAGAAGCAAGGCTTGATGTTGTTGTTGTTGTTGTATTCTTTTTTTTTTTTTAAGGCTTGCAGAACTTGCATTAAGAGAAAAAAGTAAAACTAATTACACTTGGAAAGAATGAAAAGCATCACATTCCTCCTTGATAGCAAATAAAAGCAAGGAAGGAATGCTACTAAAAGAAAAGCTATCAAAGAAAAAACTCCTACTACTAGCCATGGTAGCACAAAGGTTGGCTACCTTATTACAATTCCTATGGACATGATTAAAAGCCACTTTATGAAAGTCATTGACAAAAAGAATCTCCTCCAAAGGCCATCTATCCACAATTTGATTATTCTTCTTGAATGAAGCTTGAATGGATCTAATAACATTGAGATTACACTCTCAATAATCACCCCTTTGTACTCAAGCATCCAACTTTTAATATAATCTTTGACCGAGAGAACAGCCTCCATCTCAAGTTTGTTAACGTCTCAATGAATCCTCTTTTCTCCAAAAGCAAGAATAAACCTTCCTTTATGATCTCTAAAAATTCCCCCCACTCCAGCACAATGGGATCTGAACAGTGAAGCATCAATGTTGATTTTCATCCAGTCTTTCGGAGGAGGGCACCAAGACTCATGAGACTCCCAAAGGAGATTGGTTCCCCCAGTTTGAAAGATGAGGACTACATTTAATACTAGCCAACGCCAGAGCATTTGAAGCCGTCACAGAAGAGGGTAATGCTGATTTCCCATGCTTCACACAGTTTCTATTCCTCCAACTTAAGTACACAACAGTGCAGTAAAGCCTTACCATACCAGGCTGACGGTTTGACAATCTCCTCAGCTCCTCTAGACAGCTGTAAATACTTTGAAAAATAAGAAAACCGATGCCCAAACTTTGTATCTATTTTATAACATCCAGCAGGTACTTGCAATTTACCATAATGTGCTCATAGCTTTCAATACTATTACAGCCCCTCACACAGTTTTTATCCA